GGGGGCCACGTTCCGATGGAACTCCTGTTCCCGTCGAGTCGCCCCTTTGCAGAGCGCGACCGGACGGAGCGAACCCCGGCCACTCTGGCCACTCCCAAATCCCCTTTCCATAGCATGGGAAGACCAAGAAATTCCATCTTAGATTTTTCATCTTAGATGTTTATGCCGATGGCGCTTTTCTTTACACTGTGTTCTAAATTAAGTAACACCTGGACACAGGTCAGGGCTGCCGGGCTCTATGAACACATCTGTGTTACTACTGCTGGCCACCCCACACGAAGGTACTCTGCTTGTCCCACTCATCCTCATCAGGTACCAACCCACAACCTCACTGGTCTCACTGTTTCTTGCATCAAGGGTCGTTTCCTCGCCATATACCTGCCTCACTGTTTTGGCTGGACAGCATCGGATTGTCTTCATCCTCGGCAGAAAGACCCCTTGAAAACCGACCCGTCAAAAATGCTTCCTGCTTTGTCGCCATCCAGAGCTTGGCACCAAGCAGAACATCTGAAGAAACTGAATGCAAACCCAACTCTGACTGCAAAAAATGGCCGAAGTGTCCGAAAGCGTGCGTTCGGCCTCTTTTTGTGCCATACCCCTAAGCATCCTGTTCATGGCTGCGATGGACGAAGTCGTCCGCCGCGTGCCCTCTCTCTGGAAGGCCCCTCGAGTCGCTGGGCCCAAGACCAGCGAGTCAGCCTCCTGCGTGGAAAACCCGTCTTCGTGCTGGGAGTGACGTTTTTGTTCGAAGGACAACGAAGAAACGAACCGACAGGAGAATTCCTCCAGGTGTTCCTTTTGGGGGGGGGTTGGATGAAGGGTTTGCACCAAGTGCTTACCACAGCACGAGGTAGAAGCCAAAGACATGAAAAGGCTTCAGGTTCAAGCCAAGGAACAATTGCGACGTGGTTGAGACGTGGTATGCACCAAACGTCCATCACTGGCAGCTCACCCTCATCTTCATCTGGAAGCTCTAAAGGTCAAGCTACTATGGCTGCCATGCTTGCTTTGGAGCAACCAACACTCGTGCAGACAACCATGGTCATCACATCCCTCCAACACCCGTGGTAGGCACTGATGGCCAGCGCAGGTACCCCTCCGGCCTCCTCCCCCATCGGCATCTCGCGCACATCGTCGTCCTGGAGGCAAGGAAGAATCTTCAGGATCGCTTTTCTGACTCGGTGAGGAATTCTGATGGTGGTGATGAGCATGGTTTGCTGGCTCGGCAATTCAAACACTTCACCAACAACCAAAATGAAAGCAGAGCTCTGTCCTTTGGGCCTGCAAATGCTTGCGAAAACACGGCGCAAGCATAAGTCGTCTGCGCTGGTGACAAGCAGCTCTGTCTCTCTCGCTTGGTCCATCAGGCCCCGCACCAGGCCCCGAGGGCCCGAACGCCAAAACGCCGCACCACCGTCCTGATCCTGCCGCCATGCCTCTGGCACGTTGGGTCGGGTAGCCTGACCTCGGCGATGGCACGGGCACGTTGGGTTTGGCGCAGGCCGGGTGCGGGCAGGGCGCAGGTGGCGACCCAAGTACCACTGGGGCCATGGTCGTGCTCCTTCAAACCAGGAGATTTTTAGAAAGCCCGCTCGATGGATGGAAAGAAGAGCTTTTCCTGGACATTCCGTGGTTGCTTCCAAACACAAAACCCTGGTACAGTTGAGAGATGGGAGGCAGGAAATCTGCCAAGGTCATCTGACAGGGACGGGGTCTCCGGTGCCTCAGGCAGACCATAGCATGTCACACTTTCTCCCAGACGACTGGATGCGCATGGGACCCCACACTTATCTCTTTGAAAACATGTGTGTCTTCAATGTTGACACCCAGTGGACATCCACAACCGCATGAGTTCAAGTGAACTCAATCAATTTCATTTCTCTGCAAGACTTTGAAGGCAACCCCTGCCAAGCTCTTAGGATAGAGGCCATCGCTCTTAGGTTGGAGGCCATCGCTGTTAGGTTGGAGGCCATCGCGCTTAGGTTGGAGGCCATCGCTCTTAGATTGGAGGCCATCGCTTTTAGGTTGGAGGCCATCGCTTTTAGGTTGGAGGCCATCGCTCTTAGG